CACAGACTCGTTCTCTTCAGGTGAGTTTCCTGAGCTGCCTTTCATTGCGAGCAGCACTACTGCCTGCGTTGGGTGATTTGCCGTTCGCTTTGTTTTTCTTCTTTTCTGTTGCATTGATTTCCTGATGTAAAGATGAAGGGTGAAAGGTATCAAATGAAGCCCTTGTGAGTATTAATTTGATTGTTTAATCATCTGCTTCTTGTTTTATCTCATACTGTGAGAATATGAAACTTTCCCTGTGAAAGTGGACAGGTGGAATACTGCAGGCAAAATCTGATGGGTTTTGAAAATTACTTTGTTTATGCAATCAGACAAACATAAGATCTATTTTTATAGAGGAAATACAAAGATAACTCTGATGGCTGGACTGGAACAGTAGGAAAAACTTGAGTTTCTACCTTGGAAAGTGGTCACTGGTCTGACAACCTGGCTGCCTAGTAGTACGTGCCTCCTCCTGGGGGCTGATCACATTGTGAAAATGAAATGCTGTGTGGCTGCTGTTGGCATCTTTGTAGCTGGTCTTGAGGCTGCAGTATGGCAGTGGGAAGGAAATGAATCCCCTCCTTTTCCCTTTTCTGAGTATTGAGCCCCCCACCACTCCCATAGAGAAAACACCAGGATGCTTGTCTGTGAAGGGCTGCCTGGGAGGAAACAGTGCACATCGCTTGGGATGCTTCTGCAGCTCTCCTCTGGAGCTGGCTGCCTTTTTGCCTATTTTCTGCTTATCCTTCTGCTCCTCACCAGTCACGCACCAGTGGTTCAGTGGTAAGCTTGCTTTCCAGGGCACCAAGTGTGCTGATACCGTTCTTTCATTCCCTTCCCTACAGGGGGAAAAAAGTGTTGTGTTTTACTTTAATGAAGACTGTAGTGACAACTACTTTTAGCCAGACATTTTCACTTCTTTCCCAGTAGAGAAGCACTTCAGAAACTGTGCTTTACTTTCATTTTGTCTTTCCTGAGGAGAAAGGAAAGCTCTGTATTTAAACTTACAGGGAACAAAGGGGGATTTTGTAATCAAATATATTCATTTCTATTTCAATTTTATATGGAAAAGCCATTTGTCTTGGCTTGTTAGAATTTCTCAGAGTCTGCTTGTACTTTAGACTTTTACATCTGTTCATCTGAATTCCAGCAAGGTGCAAGAGCTGAACATAGACACTGCTGCTCATCTTGGCACAGGCAGCGCCAGTAGCTCACATTCTTGCAGAGGAAGCAGAAATGACAGAAGTCATTCAAGGTGTTTGACCGTCAGCCCCACATCAAGGACATCAAAAGATTATGCTTGGTAAGGGCACTTTTTATGTCTGGCTATTGCTGTGCAGTTGGGGGGCCAAAAATGGTGCTGAGAGCCTTTTTGTAGATCTTTCCTGGATTGTTTTCATTTTACTCCAGGTCATCCGGATCCTCCCAGGGGAGATGATCCCTCCCTTTAGTGCTCCACTCTTCCTCCACCACACTGGTATCCAGACTGCCCAATATGACTTCCTGAAGTAGACACTCCCTGGGGCTTGTCCCTTGCTCACTGTGCTGAGTGGCCCAGAACCTATCCTCATCCCTGCAGCAGCTCCATTGTTTTTGACTCAGTCTCATGCTGAAGTCACAAATATTTTTTGTTGGTTCCTCTGACTGACTTGGAAGAGCCAAAGGAAATTGGTTCAGCTGTGACTAATGTGAGCTACTCACTGAAAACGCTTCACCTTATAGTGTTCAGTCTCTAAATAGGTATTTTCTGACTTTATTTGGAGAAATTAATGAATGCTTATGGGGCACTTGTAAGTCAAAGCAGCCACTTAAGTAAGTGAAGTTACTTGATAAAACAGCTTTGCCCAACGGCTTCGAGAAATACGTAATCACTGGGACATTGAAATATTTGATTTATATATTGCAGTTAACTTTTCCAGTTAATCTTCACTGCAGTTAACGGAGGTGAGAAAATCCCAGCTGACTTACCCTTCACCTGTAGAGCTTTTTCATGTTGATAGGAGACTGTCAGTGTCTCTCTGATCCTGCAGCAGGACACCGTGGTTCAGAGTAAAATGCTGTGTAGACATCTCCTCGCTAGCAAATAACATATGTAAGGACAAGCACGTTGTGATATTTCGTAGAACACTTTTTTTGGCTTTTGATTGGAGTGCTTTCTAAGCCACAAATTGTATCTCTGTTTAATATTTTAAGGTTTTCTTCCAGAATTTGTGATACCCCTTTTTGAATTAAAGTGCAAAATTTCTTTTGCAAAGCCTGGTTCCGAGCTCCAGTGACGTGACACTGTTCTCCATTGGCAATTCCCCAGTGACCTGCCAAAGGAACAAGGGAGAAGCAGTAGATATGGGAGAGGATGGTAACACTACCCTGACTGTGGTGATGGTGTTTTTTTTTTGTTTTGGTTTTTTTTTTTTTCTACCCTAATAGCATCAGAACTTTTCAATTGAATTGCGCATTGACTTTTATTGGTGAGGTTTGTAGTGGCTGCTTGGGCAAGCTCTTTGCTGTTAAGTCAGATGCTGTTCCTTTTCTTTCAGGTTGAAGTTCAGACAGCTGATGTTTCATTAAGCAGCTGGAGGAAACCTCTTATCTGGAGACATTCATTAAAATGAGGAGCCAATTACTTGGAGGAAAGCTGTGTCTATATGTTGGTGCCAGATGTGCTGGGCAGATGTTTGCTGCGCTCTTCTAGGGATTACACTGTGCTATCAGTAAGAGGCCAAATAGTCCTAGTTCAGCAGTAGATTAAACTCCTTGTTCTTAGTTTTGCTTCGTTTGTGCTGATATTGGCAGTTTCTGCCGCACCCTAGCTTCTAAACTGGCCAGCAGTTGGGAAATGAGAGTTTCCTACGGGAGTACAAGAGTTTCCAGCTCCTGGTGGACTCGTGGGCTCTGGAGGGTCCCAGGGCACGTTGACTGGGCTGCAGCAAGAAGTCAGTGACCCCAGCTGGGCGTTGGTGCATGGTCAGCACTGTCTGGGGCAGCTGCAAAGGGTGGGGTGTGAGCAACTTTGTCGCAGGGGAGTGAAGAGGATCTTTTAGTCAGAGTGGCAAATAATGACCAGTAAAGCCTAAGCAGTCTGATATCATGTGAATATGGCAAATGAACATGTAAGTGGAGAGAGAGAAAAAGATCAAGGTGGGAAGTGTTTTGAAGAGCTTAACTTTTTTTTTTTTCAGTGAATGTAGACATTATAAAAAGCGGGTGGGGAGACCAGGGGTGAAACAGTATCATTGCCTTCAGCAATTTTTGTGCAACTTCCCAATACAAAAAGCTTTTGAATTCATTAAGGTGGAATTGAGCTGTGCGTATTAAAATGTTTAGCTATCATGCAATGCTTACTGTCTCATGCTCTAGGATAAATACCTGTTTTTAGCACAGGCAACGCAAGCTTTAAATAAGTTAAAGCAGACAGTTTTGTTCTGGGAGCACGGAGAAATGTCCATGTTAAGCCAGCCTGGATTTGAATTTTATCTGACACTAAAGTGTGATAAATGCCTCATGGTGCAATTGCATGTATTTTGACACTAATTTCAGTAATTCCTCCCATGAGTATTCTGACTGGCTATGAAAATGGCCCCACACCCACTGTGCATCTTAATCTGAGATGCCCTAATCTGTGAAAGCCAGGACAGAGCTGCAAGTCTCTTGGTGACATCATTCCCGAGACTGAGTTTGGTGCTGGCACCGTCCTTCCTGCCTCAGCCCCTGAGATATCCCTCCAAAGATGTTTGACAATCTCGCTTCAGTTTTAAGCCTTTCTCACTCTTTGTAGAATATTGTGTTCCTAGCTGGTATTTATATACCAGCAGCAAGGAAGATGGCTGTGGTTTTCACAGAGGAATATGTATATTTAACTTGATGTTATCTGAATTCTTCAATCTTTCTGAAGAAGGAAAAAACCAAGTCATTTAAAGCCCCAAAGTACTGAAGAGATTGAGGCACAGCCATACTTCTGTTGCATTGCATTTCTTCCTCTCAGTGCACCACAGACAACACACTGAGCAGAACACAGGCTCTCTGGCTTTCTTACAGCAGAAAGAGGTGCGCGTGAGCGCCGCGCACGCTGCTTTGCTCCTGTGCATGCCATGAAGTCTGCCACATCTTGCACTATGCTTTGGGGGATTTGTTTCCATTTAAGGTACTGATTTCTCCCTTCTTCCACAAATCTGGTTTTAGTAAAATAACATTAATAATTTAAATGTGCACAGCCAGAAAAATTAATTATATACACACATGGTATACTTTCAGACAAATACTGTATACTTGTTGCAAACAATGTATATTGGTTAAATTTTAAATCAAGATTCAAACAAGAAATCTTAACTAGGTCTGTTACGCTTTGGGTGAGCAGCATGTCTTTGATAAGCTAGTTTTTTTTTTTCCAGTTGGTGAGTGGATCTGACTTGGTAACACTTTAAGAATAACTAGAGCTCTCTGGGTTGTGGAGGTGGAATTATCTGAAAAAGCAGGGGCCATTTGCCTGAGGATGTATGAGATGCTGGAGCTGCTTGGCAGCTGGGTCCCTGCAACTTGACTTGGTATCCAGGATTTTAATGGAAATAACAGGAAAGCCACTTATGTTAGGCGTTGTCCTAAATGTTCAGGCTGGGACCTGCTTTTATAAAGCATCTAAATCAGGATTTTGCTTTTGGGGCATAAACAGTATCCTCCTTGTTTTAGTCTCCTGGATATTTTGGATAAAGGCATACACAAGAGTCCGTATGTTCCTGTTACTGCAGGTTTAAGTCATGCATGCTGCACCTACATATGTTTCCTTGCTGATTAATTTTCTTTATTTTTGCTATATTTTATGCCATTATGTTCTGGGTGGCCTTGACCACATGAAATGAAAAGTGGTGCTGAAGTCCAATATGACACAAGAAGTTGGTGTATTTTTTTTGGCATGGAGGTAAGTTAAATCCTGATGAGGTCCTCTATTAATGATTTACAGACAAAAATACAGAGCTTAAAAGATAGGGAAGCAGGAATAAACTAACCCTGTGACATTTGCAAACATGTCTGGAAAACCAGTTTGCATTTCTGATTTTGAAGAGTATGCTAAAAAATTTCTCCCAAAATCAGTGTATGATTATTACAAATCCGGAGCAGATGACCAGGAAACGTTAGCAGATAATGTAGCAGCATTTTCAAGGTAGGAGGATGATTTAAGGCTGGGGTGGGAGGTGGAGGGTGTAAATTCTGCTTTATTAGTACATATGGTGCAATAGATTTTTCTGTGTGAACGAAACTCAGTTTTTCTGAAACTTTCTTGTTTTTCTCAAAATTACTCTCAAATAATTGATTTTCAGAACTGTCTTTCCTCTTTCCTTCTTCCACCTAATGTTTTCTGCCAAAAAGCAGTCCCTAAAATCCATTAGCATCTTTTTAGCTTTCACAGAATCACACAATGTTAGAGATTGGAAGGGACCGCGAAAGATCATCTAGTCCAATCCCCCTGCCAGAGGAGGAACACCTAGATCAGATCACACAGGAACGCGTCCAGGCGGGCTTTGAATGTCTCCAGAGAAGGAGACTCCACAACCTCTCTGGGCAGCCTGTTCCAGTGCCCTGTCACCCTCACCGTGAAGAAGTTTTTCCTCATATTCAAGTGGAACCTCCTATGTTCCAGCTTGAACCCATTGCCCCTTGTCCTATCACTGGATGTCATAGAGAAGAGCCTGGCTCCATCCTCCTGACACTCACCCTTTACATATTTATAAACATTGATTAGGTCACCCCTCAGTCTCCTCTTTTCCAGGCTAAAGAGACCCAGCTCCCTCAGCCTTTCCTCATAAGGGAGATGCTCCATTCCCTTCATCATCTTGGTGGCTCTGTGCTGGACTCTCTCCAGCAGTTCTCTGTCCCTCTTGAACTGAGGGGCCCAGAACTGGACACAATATTCCAGATGGGGTCTCACCAGGGCAGAGTAGAGGGGGAGGAGAACCTCTCTCGACCTACTGACCACCCCCCTTCTGATACACCCCAGGATGCCATTGGCCTTCTTGGCCACGAGGGCACAGTGCTGGCTCATGGTCATCCTGCTGTCCACCAGGACCCCCAGGTCCCTCTCCCCTTTGCCTGCATTTTATTTCTTTTGTTAATATAAATTTTCTACAGAGTCCTTCAGATCAAATATTTAAGCAGCTGATGAAACTGTAAAGTAATTTCTACCTGGATTTATATCACCCTTTGTCTCAGAAGTACAGGGTCAACACAACGTAAGCCAGCTTTTGCTGTCGGATTCAGTGGAAGTGTGTCAAAACTCAAGTCAGTCGGTTCCCCTGAATCTCTGCTGCTGCTCTGCCCTACAGCATCAGCCCAGGTGTCGCAGAGCAAAGAAGGCAGCTGGAGGCTGATTGCCTCAGCCAAGCTGAGCCTAGTCAAACTGCTTAAATAGCCGCTGGCTTCTCTTTCTTTCGGGTGCCATGTTGGTGCAAACATTTAACCCTCCTGCACTTGTCTTTGCTAATCTCTAAAGGCTTTGTCTTAAATCCTTCTGAGCCTAACAAACCAAAACAAGATTTTTTTCCAATTTGTCTTCAGCCTTTCTCCTTCTCCACTTTTGCTTTTCTGCTGTTAGAGCAGCAATCCTGGTTACTGGGACAGTTGCCTTTCCCCAGGCTATGAGCAATTCAGCTGGAAACCCCATGCAACTGTGTTAAGGCCCTAGGAAACTCAGTAGTAATTAATTTAACAGGATCTCAATAGCCAGATCTTGGAAATCGGCCCTAAACCCTAATTTTAGGGACGCATATAGAAAAGGTTCATAATGTTAGGAGATGAAGAAAATCAATGTCTACTGTGACCACTTATTCCAGACCTTTTAGTTCTATTGGGAATCCCCCATCACAGACTGGAAATCCCCTTGTTCTTGGTGCTATGCAAACACAAGCCAAAGGACTGCTTCGGCTTGGAGCAGTAAACAGGAGCAGGAGGGGATGTAGTAGTGCTCACCTACTTTTTATTAGTTTTTTTGTGTTTGTGTGCTTCCAGATGCACAGATGTTCCAGATGTTATTTGCCCTCATGAAAACAAAATGAGATGTTAAGGAATGGACACTCAAAAGAGGTGCTCAGAGGCAATAAACTGTAGAAGTAGGGACTTTTTACTACTAACTGCTATGGCTAATCATGATTAAGCAAAAGTTGTATGTCTACTGCCCAGAGACAGGCTAACAAAAATCTAGGTATGTCCACTTGCTGTTTTTGGTATTAGCGGAGCTGGATGTTAGTGGTAAGGTAAGAGCAGCTCTGCTCTGAAGGTGGTTCCCACCACAGGGGTGGATTACTCTGATAAGAAGACCTCCTTGCTGCTTACCTGTGGGGTTCAGGCTGACATCATCTGTCATATTTTAAATAAGAGCCTCCAGTTTTAGGTGTGGAGCTTGTAGGCAGCCTGGAACTGAAGGAGATGTTAATTAGCAGTGCCTTGAATAGCCTGAGATGTAAATTAAATTTGCCAGGTCCTGATGTGGCTAAAAGACCTTTGATGCTTGGTTCCTGCTCCTCAGCAGTGAAGTTTTGAAGGAGATGGAAGCTGTGTTTCTGTCTTTGCTCACCCTCCCTTTGTATATTTGTCTTAGAGAAAACAAGGTCTAATTTCTGCAGTAGCTTTTGGACATTTAAATGTCTTCCAAAAAAGCAGTTAATAAAATCTAAAAGATGTGACAAATAGGGTTTACTCTATTAAATCATCAAACAACACAACTTGTTGACAGCCAGAAAAGTGCAGTGATGTGCTGGTGGTCACCCAGCAGATCAGTGGGAGAGCTGGGGTCAGAGCCTGAAACCCAGCTCACCTGGGGAGACGTGCGGTCCCCTCCTTTCTGGTCACTGCCGTGCCAGTGCAGCTCTTGCTGCGAGGGTGGGCATCGCGGCTGCAGTCACCTGCCAGGGCTGACCAGCTTTCCCTGTATCATGGGCTGGAGCATGGATGGAACCACAAAATGGTTGGGGTTGGAAGGGACCTTAAAGATCATCTAGTTCCAGCCCCCTCCTGCCATGAAGCTCAAAGCCTCATCCAGCCTGGCCTTGAACACCTCCAGGGATGGGGCATCCACAGCTTCCCTGGGCAACCTGTGCCAGTGCCTCACCACCCTCACAGTGAAAAAATTCTTCTTAATATCTAATCTAAATCTACTCTCTTCCAGCTTAAAACTGTTACCCCTTGTCCTATCACTACACTCCCTGATCAAGAGTGTTTCCCCATCCCTCCTGTAGGCCCCCTTCAGGTACTGGAAAGCTGCTATTAGGTCTCCTCGGAGCCTTCTCTTCTCCAGGCTGAACAACCCCAACTCTCTCAGCCTGTCCTCATAGGGGAGGTGCTCCAGCCCTCTGACCATCTTTGTTGCTCTCCAATATAGTGATTTACAGCTTCATGGACAAATATGCTCTTTTATCTGTCCATAACAAGAGGGAGATGATAGTAAAAAGTGGTCAAAGTTAAAAATAGCCCTTATCTAGCACTGGAAAACATAAGTTAAATCACTTTTAACATTTCTAGTGCCTTTCTGTACCTGCCTATTTGCAAACTGAAATATTTCCAGTAAGCAGTGTGCACCTGCTGCCTGAAGCCAGATGGACCTTGCTCTCTGCCGAGGTGACCCCCTTTAATGGACTGTTGAACCTTTTTGGAAGCATTGTTGAGCACAGGGATCCATGGGCTCAATCTCGATAGCTACAGTGTTCCCCACTCGTCACTGCTGGGGGACAACACACAGTGGTGGATTCCTGTTTTCTTAGCACATGGGATGCTACGGTTAATAGTGCATTGAGCCATGTTTGCAATGGCTTCCTGGCAACACGTCTAGAAAAGGTAGAAATCTGGTATAAAGACTTCACAGTATTTTGGTTTATGCGACCTGTTTGACACAAGCTACTTTTAAAATATTTTTTTTTTCTTTGCTGTTGGGATGAGCTATTGGGAGAAGCATAGCCTAACCGTTAAGGATGCAGGAGTGGTTCTCATTCTGGCTTGCACACAGTGCTTGTGTGTCTCTCAGTTTTGTTTCCCATTGATTTCCGCTGTCAGAAGCTTAGTTGCAGGGTTCAGCCTGGTTAAAAACTTTTACAGTTTATTTAAATATTTCTAGATATATGTATAAATGTTTAAATGGAAGAAAGCACAAAACTGAACCAGAAGCATGAATTGTTAGCCCATACCTTTGTGGTACAAGGTTATTCAGGTGAGACAGACTGCTGGGATGGATTGTATTTGGAGAAAAATCAGTGTTGGGTTTGTTGGTGAACTCTTTATTTTTTTGGCAACTGAATGGTTGCATTTACAAATAAATATATTATTAATAAAGACTGATCTAGCAAATGAATGGTAGTTTTGGTAGATGCTGGAATACATTTGGAATGACCTGTGTGATTTTTGGAGCAGTGCAATCCATACCCATTAGATCATAAAAATGAATGTCCTGGCCTTTTGACAGCACAGGAGCATGAAGTACTTTGGACTTGTCATCAGATACCAGAGTATAAAAAGTCTCTAAAAGGCCAGTGTTTAAGATGAGGTTAACACCAGGTCCAGTGACCCTCCTCTAGCTTCTGGCTCTTCTGGGAATGAGGTTGGAGTGGAGAACCGGAGCTCACCTTTCAATATCCGTGTGTTCCTGCTAAGGCCAGAGAATTGGTTTTTATTCATGGTTTTCAAAAGACATGGAGACGGTACTAGCGTAAGTGAGGTGTTAAGGCCAAGATGATGATTTGGGGCATCAGAGTATACATTACACCCTATGATGTCTGACTGCATTCACCTTGCATTTCCTCTGCGTCCCCCAATGCTGTGTGTCCTTCCCACACCCTGCCATCCGGCTGTTCAATTCACTCCCAAGTTGTCTAGGAACCATTTTATGACAAGGTCGGGATGCCTTTAGCTTGCTGGCATTCAAGAAATCAATCTGAAATCTCCCCTTTCGGCGTCTTAATGAAGGGGGACGTCTCTGTGTGTAGGAACACAGTTCTACTAATCCGCTGTGACACATTCTACCGCTGACTCCCCGGTGGCCTTTGGAGAAGATGTGTTTTGTTGCTGTGTCCTTGTTTATCAGTGACAGCATCAATGCATATTTTCTGCAAACGTGTTGTCATCTTGTAGCTGGGTGTTAAGGGCCTTAAAATTACTGGGCGTGAAAATAATTTAAATGTTGGTTAAAAAAGCAAGGCTGAGAATGTGATTGGGGTCAAACAAGCATGTGAAGTTGTAGGGGGGAGAAAAGGAAAGGAATGCTTGCAATAATAATTTCGTTACATTTCTGCAGTGTCTTTCACCTCAGATTCGCAGAGTGCTGTGAAAAGAGTTGCCATGTGGATGGTAAGACACCCTGCGAGAGAAAATCGATTCTCCTCAAGCAAAAGCACTTAGCAGCCTTGCACAGCACGAGCGCTTGCCCCTTAGAATGGGTTGTGGAGCTGCAGAGGAGGTGAAGGTAGCGAAGTGGGCTGGAGCTGGGACGGAGACTGCCTGAACGGCATGTCCTTGCCCAAATGCACCACTTGCGATGCAGCACCAAGGGATTATTTAGGACGGGTTTGGAAGGGAAACAAGAAGAGCTGCTTCAAAATGTGTTGCAGTTCAAAAATGTCAGCATTTTTCACAGCTGAACATGAGAGGGGAAAGCAGTGAGTGCATCTCTCTTACCCATCTGCAAAATAATTTACAATCTGCAGTTTCTGAACAAAGGGAAAAGAGGAAAAAAAACCTGCTAATGCCCCCTCCTCTCTTTTCATCCTTCTTTCAAACCAGCATTTAGCTGAAGTTGCCTAAATTGGGAGTGCTCACTGCCTTCCCCACTGAGGCATATCCCCACTTCCAGCTGGGAAGAAAGATGCACTCACTTGCAATTGCTGATTGCAGCACAAGGGTGTGGGCTTGGCTGAAAAAAATGTGGGTGATGAGAAGAAGATGAATGGAAAAGAAAAAAAAAATGTTTTTACAAAATATCCAGGAAATCTTTTCACTCAAGGCCTTGGAGGAAGCAGGTGGTGCGTGGCAGCCCAATGAATGCATGCTCCGATTCGTGGGAAATACTGCTCCTGGGTTTTGCTTGTTGTCGTTAAGGGCATTCCCTCATGGCTTGGCCAGAAATATGCCTCACTTCAGGTATCCAGAAAACACACAGCTGAAAACACTCATGTTTCCAAAGCAAGGTCAGGGTTTATTTAAAGAGTATAATACTAAGCTAGTGATCCCTTTGGGTGTTTTTTGTGAGACCCAGTAGGTACTTGGTTATGAGCTTTGATTTGGTGTTGGTCTAGAGGATACGACCTGATAAGGTGCGAGGGGAAGAGAAGCCGCAGAAGACACTGGAAGAGACATTTACACTTAAAATCTGAGGCTAATGAGCTTGAGGATCCCAAAAAGCTCATGGCTGGGATAATTTGATGGCGCATAAAGGCAAGTGGGAAGGAAGCTGTTTATTGCTGCTTGAAACAGCATAATTTTTCTTGCACAGGCTGTTGGGAAGATTTTTGCTCCTTCTATTTCTTTCCTCAGCTAAAAGCACTACAGAGATGTTGGTAGCTCAGGACTGACCCTGCTATGTGTGCTTTGAGATGACAGTGGTTTGCACCAGGTAAAAATCTGACAGGTCTGGGACAGCTGAGAAACTCGGAGGCTGGGGAGGAGAGATATTTTACATCCTTACGATTTTGAGTTTGACTGTAAAAATAAGCAAGTTTACAAAAGGATTTTTGTTTTCCTTATATTTGCTGGGAGAAGATGTCTCGGAGCTGGGAGAAAGCCTTCAGAATGAGGATTAGGAAGAAGGGAGAAAAAATTCATGTTTTCTTTGTTCCACCCTCAGCCTATCCTCCCCTGAAAAATAACAAAGGGATACAATAGCCTGAAAACAAGTCTGAGGAGACATACTTGCAGTGTGTGTCTTGGCATCAAATAATCCAGCTGACTCCCACAACTACATGTCTCCTTCCAAGCATTATAACCATCTTTCTCTTCCCTGGGGAGTGTTTCCTGGAGAGCGGGCATGACCCAACGCTCTAGGGCTTCAGAAACTTGTGTTTCATCCTGACTCTGTCCCAGGCTTCTTATGGAAATGTCTCTTGATCTTTCTATAAAATGAAGAGGTTGTGTCTCTTCTTTTTTTCTAGCTGTCAGCTTAATACATAAACTCGAGCTGACCACTACTCGCTGTTGGAGCACAGTCTGAGGGTAACAGTGGCTCTAGTTGCTGTCTCCTTGCTAGTAATAATAATATTAGTCTCAGGCTTTCTAGTGCTTAAACTTTTAATTATTTTCTATACTTAAAATTCAGTAGCCATCAGTGTCCTTGCAGAGGGAGGGATGCCTTCATGAGAGCTTGAAGTGTATCCTACTACCACTTGCAGAGAGCTGTTTCGAGAGCCAGCCCTGGCCAGGGCACACCCTCTTGTGGCTTGTAGTAGCAGCGGCTGTGCTGTGACAGCTGTCAGATGGGGAGAAAAAATCCCATTTCACAGGCATCCCCAGGGATGCAACCCTGTTAATACAGGTTTGGATATTGTGGTGTAGTCTAGTTGAACCCATAAGAGGGACCACGATCCTGTTATGATGCTGTTATGTGGGAGAAAAAAGGTGAATTTCTGTGTGTGCAAGCATGTGGTGTCCAGCCTGACCGCAATAAATTGTAATTCCTGCTTGTGTGTTTTATTTGCCCTGTTTTGAGGTCAGCTTCCCTTTGTACCTGGGCTGAAGATCCTAGTGGAGAATAAAGCCCAGCTCTGGGCTGTTGTGGTTTCTGGCAGACACATTGAAGGCAAAGCAAGGTCAGGAAGGGTTGAGCAGATGCTGGGCCACATCGTTCAAGGACTAGACTGTAATTTGCTGTCTTGGGAAAGCAGTTGTGCTATTCGGCCTTTTCCTGCACCAAATTACAGTGGCTTCTTTGGTCTTTTCCTGGAAGCCTGGAGTCCTGCAGGACCAGGGTCTGTCCCTGGGGCTGTGGCCGGAGTCCCAGGGACCACATGTTGCACAGTGGCCAGCAACTGCCAGGGCTAGGACCTCTCTCTGGGCCAGGAGAGATGCGGTGCTGTGGATTTCCACCCTCCCCAAGCTGAGGAAAGCCGGGGAAGCAATCTTGCCCACCCGCTTTCCATGGGAAGAAGCGTGGCAGCTCACTTCTGTGTAGTCTCACTGCAGAGACCCCTAGTGTGGGATGGGGAGTGCTGAGCATGCTGCCCAGGCTGTCTTTATCCAAAAATCCTGTGTCTTTCGACTCCCTAGTCCATAGGAGAAATAGTTGAGGGGGACTGATGACTTCTCCTGTTCCCAGACACCCTCTGTCATCCAGTTCTGCACCAAGGCCTTTGGGGAGGCTGACTCACCATGAACCTTATTATTTTGCAGCTCCTGTCTTTTCTGTTAAATTATACCAGCCAATAATGTCCAAAGGTTCTTTTTCACCCTGTGTGGACTTCGGTCCCTCCTTTCCTGCTCCCTCCTGGCTTTGTGCATTCTGTAGGTCCTGCTGCAGCTCCGGGTCACCCAAAGAAGTTCTGCTCCAGCTCCAGCACAGCTTTCACCATGTTTCTCTTGACAGCAGGAAAATCTGCTCTTGCCCATTAGGAACTGTAAATAACTGTGCTGCTGCAGGCTTTTTATTTTCTTTCTTTGTCTCCATGTCAGATGGAAGCTGTACCCCCGGGTCCTCAGGGATGTGTCAGTAATGGACCTGTCAACTTCAGTCTTAGGGCAGAAAATCAGCATGCCAGTCTGTGTCGGAGCAACTGCGATGCAGCGTATGGCTCACACTGATGGAGAGACGGCTACTGCTAAAGGTAAACCCTGTGAAGTCCCCCCCGCAGGGAGTTAGAGAGGAACATGGTGATACTGTGCCTGCTGGTTGGGAAGCCCAGCTTGGTTTCTTGCTTCTGATGCCGAGGCCAGGATGGGTTTGAGTTGCTGCTCAGAGTAATGAGGTTTATTTTTTGTTTTGTTTTTTATTATTGCAAGAAATACAAAATTGAAAACTACCTCTATCTCTGTATCTTTCTATGCATTCTATAAATATAACTATAGATACTGTCACAGCAACTTTCTTCGTGTTACAGAACTGTTTCTAGAAATTCCGGAGCTTTTGCTTGTCTGGGTAAAATACTCGCTTTGAAGAGAGCTCTTTGAGCACATCGCGGGGGGCCAGCAAGATAAGGGCCCCTCTGGGCTCAGTGCTGCACAAAGACATTGCCAGCACGGAGGCTGCAGCCTAAAAGGCTGCAAGAAATGAGATGTTAGCCAGAATTGGGATGTGAAATGGTTTCTTATTCCTTTAACCCAAGCGGCAGGATGACAAAAAGTCTGAGACGGAGCTCACACGGTGTGCCTCTTGCATATAAACAGCGTTGGACTGTGCAAAAGGATACAAAACCCAAATAGGCAATACTTAGGAAAAAAAAAGAAAAAAATCCTGTGGGGGTTGAACTGTTCGTCTAACAGTGTTTCCATGACCAATGCAGCAAATGCTAGTGTGAAATGAGCCTAATTATCCACCCTGCAGTGGGAATTGGTGTCAATTCTTGTTAAAAGCCACATCACTGCGATGTGCACCATGATGGGCCACAGCACAACTCCAGCAGCGATCTCTGTAAAAGCAGATTTCTCCAGTTTTGTGGTATGTTTGGGGGTACGTTTTCCCCCTTCCCAAGAGATTCCTTAGCAAGCCAAAGATTTTACTCCTATTGTATGTACAGGCGTGTTCCACATGATGGAGCTCGAATACCTTGAATTGGTTTGCGAAGCCGTGGCCATGGGATGGCTTGGTGCTGCTCTGTCCTTTGGCAGCTCTTGCAGCTTATTTCTGGCCCAGGTTGTGCTGGGAGGCAACTCTGAAGCACTATGCTGTTAAGTGCAAACATATTAATGCAACGTTAAGAGCAAGACTTTGAAACGTGAAATTCAGGATGTTCCTTAGCAAAAATTGCCACCGACGCTACAGCCTCGACACGTTTTAAGGCAAAAATGCGTAATAGCATAGAAAGTCGAGGGGTACAATAAGGCTGACTACCAGGGCTGAGTTATCTTTGTGGTAGATAAATTAATTTTGGAATGTTCTGAATTCTGTGCACTTACATTTTCAAGCTTTAGCATATGATTATTGCATTTAACAGTCTTGGGTTTTCAAGCTAGGAGAGCTTGGTGTATTGGCAACAGTTTGAATGTGCGATCAAATAAACACATTCACGGGAGCTGGTAAATTTTTTCATCACTTTCAAAGGAGAGTGTAATGAATATCACATCCTCTGTATTGCATTAGCATTTCTTGTAGAAAAAAAAATACAGCTTTGGTTTTGTGCTCTGTCAGAGGTGGTGTGGGGCATTCAGTGCCAAGCTTTGGGCTTGACCTGATGAGATGACTGGGATTAGCTGTTGAGTACATGTTTGGCTCAAAGGTTCCTTAAAATTGGGACATTTGGGATCAGGGAGTTTGCTACATCCAACTTAGTTTAAACTCTGCAATACCTTTGAAATACAAAAAAGCAGATTGTAGGTTGCTTTAAATCTGCTTTCACTCCAGCTGCGCCAGTGTATGCACACCAAGAAGGTCTGATCCATAGCCTTGCAGCTTTTGGAAAGCACGGTGTGCTTTGTAAGCTTGACTTTGCCTCAAGTGGGTGGGGAGTGATGCATGTGGTGGTGTCTCTGCTGTTGTGATGGCCCTTGAAAAGCATGCCATGGGCTGAATCTTGCCCCTTCCCAGTAGTAACAACTCCTGTCCCTACATTTTTGTGTTTTGAGAATGATGCCTGATGCTCCAGTTCCCTTATGCGACAGCATTTTGCTTTGGACTGCTCTATTCTTCTAGCGGGTTTGCCTGCACGTTGCAGCATAATTGTCCCCTCTAGGGACAAGGACATGTCATGGTGTGTCTCATTAAGTAAAACTCCCTGCCCTCAAAACTCCTCTCTTGGGGGCTTGCCAGGATTTTGGGAGCTGCTGCTCCTCGAGGGATGCTCTCCTGCAGCAACCAACGTGGTGGAGAGGAGTAGGCATCTTACCAACAACAGGGCAAAGTCTGGCAGCTTGTCTTAGACACACCTTCAGTGACAATTCTGTTTCATTAGTAAAAGATCTTTATTTTTGGAAAAATGTTCAATTGTAATTTTAAAAGTTGCTGGTGACAGGCCCTCCAACGCAACTTAAGTTATTTCGAAGGTTAGCAAATTCTGCTCCGAGCAGAAGAAGCTGTAATCATGGTCAAAACTTGTACAGCTTCAAATCCAGATGTTGGATTTACTTATACTTCTGTTAGCTAGACTTAAAAAAACCCAACCAAACAAAAACAAAACAAAAAAAAAAGGAAAAATATTGTCTATATAGGCTGTAATAAGGTTGCTCCTCAGTTTTCTTTGACATGTCTAAATGGACCTGGAGGCCTTCCTTACAGGGAAACTCTCTTGTCCTTGAAACAATTTTACAGACCTTGGCAGTTGTCCCAGTTTTTCCAGGTCTTTCTTCAAGTCTATTCCCTAGCATTTTAGTTGTAGTTCATCAGTGTATATGGCTATTTCACAAATAATAGATTTTCTGTTCAGTAGAAACTGAACAATTGGGAGCAAAATTGTTTTGGATTAACTGAAATGTTTTAATTTGATCCAAAACACAATGTTTTATTTCATTTTCCTACTAGCTAATGCTTTTAGCCATAGTTTTGTTTTGAAACACAAGTGTTAGCTCAGAAGAAAACATTTCCATTTTGAAAATATCAACACATGACATTTTGACTTAGGTGAATTTTTCTCATCCTTCCCACTCCAACTTCAACCTCTTTAACAAAAAATATTTGCCAAATTTGATGAATAATCTTAGCCACCATTAAAGAGCAAAGGGCTGTTCTCTAAACACTTTTCAACAGAGCTCTTCTAATTCTACATGTTCGGGTTTTTATTCCTTTTTTCTTTGCTGGTCCATCAGAAGATTCCCTATGCCTCCATGCAAAGACATTCATTTGCCATCCGGACTTCACGCTGCACTTGCAAACCCTCGTGGTCCCCATGTTGAATTCAGTAAGCCCTCCTTGCAAGTGCAAATAGAACCCACTTTCAAGTCCACCAAAATCTTGTGCACCATCTGGCTGCTTAGCAAGAAAGAACAATTTTTTTAAACCATAATTGATTATAAGCGGACATGCACCATTATTTTATTGAGTTTTTTATTCTGTTTATATTGCTTTCTTACTGACCAATTGCCTTCTATTCTTGTGTTTTAGCCCAGAAGCAGTATTGCAATACCTGACGTCTCTCTGACTTGCTGAAAATCAGGCTGAACGGCCTGACTGTGTTCTTGGCCAGATCTTTTGAAAACTTTGAACACTAGTTGCTCAGATCTGGTGGCTTTATGTTTACCCTCTGCAATTCCTCTCAAACAACTTTGAGTCACTGCTGATGCAAGAAGGGTTTCGCCATCACCTGCGATGTGACTGCACTGTTTACTTTGCCAAATAGAAAACAGGAATATTGACTGAAAAGCTTTTTTTCTTCCCTCTTCTTAGTTGAGTTACTGTCAGCTTTATAATTTTCACCAGAGAGGGAGCAACACCTTTGTTCCTTCGGCTTGTAACAGACTTCTGCTCTGCTTTTTGTTTGCTTTGATGCTGCTGAGGTTCATGTGCTCATTGGACATGCCCATGACTGTGAAGGAGGGATTTTGTGATTTGTTGCTTTTTGTGCTCAGCCAAAGCAAAAATAGCAGGACTTTGTGCCCATCATTCATCTGTTACCTATGTGGTGTTACAAAAAACAAAGTTAATTTTGAGATGTGGCTACTCCAGAGTCATTGAAGATGATATTCACATTGGCTAACATGGCCTGGACTGCCCTAGCCCTGACTTCCCCCCGAGGTCAGCTTGGCCAGGGGACTTTCTGATGCAAGAGTGTGCAGGCAGTCTGGCATGCCAGGCCTCCTACACCAGCCAGATCCATTTTGACCCTGCGTTTTTTTCCCCTGCTGCCTTCAGTCTTCCTGTGCAGCTGACAAAATGCGTTGTGTCAACAAAATGTTTGTAGGCACAACTCGCATGCAGGGTTTTGTAAGGGCTAAGTGAGGTGAGACTGGGCAGGGGAATTCTCAGCCAAGTGTGTTTCATCAAGAGAGTAATGTTAAATACTTTAAACAACTCCGTTTCTTAGGAGATGCAGCTCCAAGAACAGAGCTACTTCTCTTGAGAAATACCACTGTGACTAAAGGACATCACACTGATCCCAAGTAATGTCCTCTGGCCTCTAACTTGGGGACAGTGGCTTCACTGGTGGATTCAGGGAAGAATGACCACAGTGGGGCAGTTTGGCTGCCGTGCTTCGAAGATGCCCCTAAAAGGGAATGATGGGAATTTGCACAGCTGGAGAAAAATAGCAAGTTCCCATTCCCATACAAGGTAACCCTGACAAAATACGTGAGCTTAAACTGAGCTCTTCTCCAGTGTCCTCACCTGAATTATTTTGCCTCTGAGTTGCCCACAGGGACAAACCCCATACCCTTCCCATGCCAGCTGATGGAGTAATGTCCCATCAGAGGTGGGAAGGAGACTCTGAGGTTTCAGGATGAAAAAAAGGAGCTCACAAATTTTATTGCTCTGTTCTCCTGTGGACTTGCCAAGTTGGTCCTGTCCCGTAGTCAGCCTTGTTTTGTTGCTATGTAAAATACTTGAGTTGAATTTCCCAAGAATCATAGAATCATAGAATGGTTTGGGTTGGAAGGGACCTTCAAGATTATCAAGTTCCAAGCCCCCTGGCCATGGGCAGGGACACCCTCCACTAGCCCAGGTTGCTCAAAACCTCATCCAGCCTGGCCTTGAACACCTCCACGGATGGGGCATCCACAGCTTCTCTGGGCAAGAACGAGGAAAGCCCCATTTTATTGAGGTTTATGTTCCCTGGTGAGATGTTCTTGCCTGCAGCTTCCCTCGGCCAAGAACAGGCAGCAGTGGGGCTGAGGCACCTGCGCCCACTCAGGGCAGCTGTGGGGCTCCCCTTTCCTAAGCATGCCCCCCTATCCCAATGCTAGGTGCATTTGGCCCTGAAACAAGGTGGAGTACAAATAACTCAAAGCTTTATCATACCAATATAAAAAACTTCTCAAGGCTCCGGTGTGCGGCTAATGCCATGCTCTGAGCACTGTCATTGATCTCAACAGGAGCCTGCAGTGTGTACAAAAGAAAATGTATGCTTTGGCAATGCTTGGGATTTAAGGAGGACCTGGGAGAAAAAAAAAAAAGACTAAAAGCAATCTGAAATGGTATGAGGAAAGCTGGTTTACAAAAATCTGGTGTTTAAACTCTAGCAAATGTCACATATTGCCATAAAAGCATCCCATGGCAACACTAATCTAGTATTGATTTGTAATAACAGATGTATTTGCAGCACTCCGAAGTTGAAGTAAAAAATAAAGTCGTTGGAGGAAACTTAATTGCTTCTGTTTTCTTTAACTGCAGCTAAATGTGCAATTAGTGGGAGTATATTTTTAGCAAAACCTGATTTGAGGTAGAAGAAAAAGCCCAGAACCTGGCAACACTTCAGGACTATGTATCATATGCTTTTGAAAACCTAGAAAACCATCAAAATAAGCTTAAAAATGATCAAGATAAAGCACAGATCAACTAAAAGTGGAACTCGGAATATCTAAAACTTTGAAAAATTTTGTGTGCATGAACTTTGAATTTGACCATGCAGATCCAAAATATTAATGTTGAGCTGGTGCTTTACCAGAGAATCGTTAAGTCTACAGGACAGACAAGAGGAATTTTGTGAGTATGCTTTCATGAAAGCGCTGTAACCCACTTTGGGACAGTTGAACTCTGATGGAACCAAACTGCTTAAATCTGATCTTGAATAAGATGAAAGTGTTATCTGCATATGTGGCAATAGAGAAGACATGTTGAAAGAACAGGGTATTATTTTGTGTTTTAAATCTTCCATTCACTGAGTATGTTTCATTGTGCAGTTTCTAATTTCATTTTTGCTTTTGCAACTACCATTATAGCCTTAAGGCGATGGAGGTAGAGTTGAGAATAAAAGTAAGAATAGAATAAATTGATACCTAAAGGCAGATTGAACCATAACATTTTTCTCTTATCTGATCTGAGGGTTTTGCAATTGCTGGGTTAGCAACCTTCTCTCTCATTCATGAGCTCGCATTTGACAGAGGAACAGGAATGTGCATCCCTTGGTTCTCAGCATCACTTAATGGACTTAATTGGGCAAATCACTTATTATGGAGTTTGTGATAACCCACCACAGCTGATTTTAACGGGACTTTGGGCATTCAGTCAGCATGGGTTCTTCAGAAGAAACTCGTTTCTAGGTACTTAATCTGTGAGAGGGAACTATTTTCAGTAATTTTAAGGGGAGGAATGAACCGGCTACAATGTAGAGAGTTTTGGCTCATTGCTACTGTATTTCCACTGATTGAAAGCTTGGTGGCCCTGGGAGGGTGAAACCAATTTGTTTGAATAAGCCGTTCGTAAGTTTCCACTCTAAGAGACTTGTAATCCTTATTTAATCAAATGTTGTCATAAAGACCACTTTTTAATTTCTTGATGGGCTAGAGATGATGTTTTGAAACAGAGGTCCATTTACATTAAAAATATGCCTACTGGGGTAGACTAAGAAAAATATGGCTTTATATAATATTTCAGAGTTTTAAAGGGTATTTTCATTTATTTTACATTAAGTGATGGATTACTCCAAAAAGAATGAGAGATTCATAAAAATATAGTTGTATGAGGCTCGCTGGTTTGTAGTGCAGCCCAGGTTGGGAATTTCCTCCAGGGAGGCAGCCGGCACTGGGCCTGTGGCTGCTTGACCCCATCTGGGGTTGTTCATGTCATTTACCCTTGGGGCTGCCCACACCTCAGAGTGATTTCACTCCACAGCTTTTTGAACGTAAAGGAGGAGAGGCCAAAACACATTGGGCATGAGCACTCATCCCTTTGGCCTTAGCAGACTTTGGAGACCACTTGTCTGTTGTTCCAGCTCATCTCTGTATTTACTTTTGGGGTCTCCTGCGTGGGGACTGCCACCTGGGATGTGTTTCTTTCACTCACGATGAGATCAGAACTTCTATTTTTTTTATTGTCAGAAGTGTAAAGCTTTATGTGTGGGATCACAGAATGGACATGGGGTCCCTCTCCTTCAGGCTACAAGACAGGCAAGTGAAGGTGATGAAGCAAAGAACAGTGGAGCTTCCCTCTCCAGTCTTTTAAAGAAGGTTGTCTGCTCGACAGTGTCCTTCTGTTTTATTGTGCCCCGAAACACTCAGCAGG